GAGAGAGAAAGAATAGAGAAAGAGAAAGGATCTGGAAAGAGATTGGGAAAAAGGAAGAGAGAAGGAAGAAAGTAGAGTTGCAGAGATTAGGTCATTCTCTCTCTTTCATTGAAAAGCCAACCATTGAAATGCGGAATAAATAAATAAAAAATACAAAAACGAACAAAAATGTCCTTCTCCACCCCTGCATCCAGCCAACCACACAATTGCTCCATCCCCTAGATCTACGGCTTCCGTGTAGTTACTGATAGGTCAATAACCAGTGGTTACTGACCCTATCTCAAGCCGGTCACAGTCAGGTTGTAGGAGAAAAAGTAAAGGGCATGTAAGTGGAATTTGGACTCAAAACCAATTACAGACGGCCAATACTATGGTGCCGCTATAAAAAGTGCGGCACCGGTGACGCTGATTCTTATTGGGCCACGTGGAGCTGATGTGGCCTGGTTGGTTTATTTATTTCGAGCCCATTACCCTTCAGAATTGTCTAAACCGAAACCCTACCCAGCAGACGGAATCTCCTGTATTTCCCACAGTCGTTTCCTCTTTGATTTAATTTTCTTTAACTGCATTTTAGTTTTTAACTTTTATTATGAAACAAAAAAAAAATCGAACGGAAAGAGAATCCTTCAATCCGAGGAGCGTAGAATACTAAACTACTCCGGCGAACTCCACCGTCTCCGATCGGAACTCCATACCCTCCCCCATTCATCGAGTGCAAAAAAAAAAACGACGAATCCCTAGTACCGAGAGGCCCTCTGTCTCCGTCAAAGTAGTCTGCCGACAGCGACAATCTCGCACGAAAGAGCAGTGTCCTCAGTTCACTCTGCGTTGTCCACTCGCTCTGTACCCTTCATGTTGACGAAGCGGAATTCGAAGTTCCTTGGTGTCTAGAGACATGCCTAACAAATCCGAAGGCTCCAGGTAAATCAATTCGTTTGTCTTTTGAGAAACTAGGACAATAATTAGTCTCTTTTTGGTCCCGGATTAGGCCTAACTTCCTTTTGCCTCTGAGCTGCTATGTCATGGATGTTGCGCCTTGTATTCGATTATTTTCCTTTGTGTTTACCGAGCATCAGGGAACTGGTTGCTCTGTCCCTGTTCTACACTTCTACTTCTTTGTTCTTTCTATTTTGGTTAGTGCATAAACAGTAACAGACCTAGCTAAGCCAACCGAGTGGGAAGGATGCTTGCTCTGTCCCTGTTCTGCTTCTTTGGTCTTTCTTTTTTGGTTGATACATAAAGCATTAGCAGAGCCTATCTATGTCAGCCGAGTGGGAAGGCCACCACCAATTCATCATATTTTGTCAAACAGCTATTGATAACATATCTAATTATGACAGAATTACACGAGGCCTTTCATTCCCCCTGCTAATACTGTGTTTTGCTGAAGTCAATTAAACCCTTGAACTGAAGGAGACAAGTGATTCCGCATAAACCTACTAGTCAAGTTGATCCTAGGAGTTTGTTGAATGAGAGGTCCATGACTCTGAGAGACGGGAGGACAACTAGAGATGATAATATGTTGATGTTAATGACATAGATCTCTTAATTGCTTCCCATATCAAGAATCTCCAAAAAATTTAGTCCTGATACCATTATTGTGAACATACCGGCTTATTCATTTACAGAGAAAGAATTTCCCTGCGGTGAAATGGTATATAGTGTTGGAAGATGGACATGGAGAAGACTGATGGGGTACCTTTAGCAAATCTTTCGCTGCTTCCTCTATCGTATGCATATAATGGCGTATCTTTTGCGCCCTGCATCGATATTCGATATTAGTAGCATTCAGAGAGGAGGTCTGGGAATCCAACTGGGGGAACAAGTTCTCGGTTATGAAATGATTAGTCACCATTCATCAACGTTTAGCAGATGCTTCTATGGCCTCTGAAATGGAAGAACCAGACCCTGGTAATGATGTGATTGCTTTGTCATTACGTTATTAGTACACTATATCAATAACTTGTCATTTTGTTACTCCCTGATGGAGCTTTTCTTGCTGTGATGTTTGAGATTATTGTCTTGGCTTCATATATTGATTGCTTAATTAGTGCATTTAGGGCTTTCTGCAGCTAAGTGCTTTTTTTCAGTTGGCAAAAGCATGGTTGGTGTCATGACATGTGAACTAGGTACCCTGGAATGATATTGATTGTCGTAAAAAAATTTAAAGGTTTGGTACCTTTGCAGCATGTTCGATGGGGATACAGGTTAGCAGTTTAACCCTTAGCCAATGAGTATGATGCTTCCCATACCAACTTGTGATTAATTGCGCGATTGTTTTGTAGGAATGTATTGCTACTGATCATACACCATCAGAGAACCGTGGCATGTAGCATCCTGATGGAATTTTATTTGGTTCGTTGCAGTTGCAGTTCCAGTTTGCAGGCTTAAGCATAAGCTGAAACAATTTTCCATTGAGCATTTTTCCGTTGCTCCAGGGGGTGACACAACAGTATCTCAGCGCATGGTGGAGATGTCAAGAGCAAGAAATAAATTATTTCTTGAGCATTAGCAGCTCGTAATTGGATGGTATAGTTATGAGCAGTTGAAGGAAGACGGCAGTAGAATGGAATTGTTTATGTATTGTCGATGATGTATTTGTTTCCCAGAAATGAAAAGATTGAAATATGACCAATGTCATTGTCTTCGTCTTCCATTCCACGAACTGTTTCCTTCCTTAGGCAGCAGGACTCAAAACTGAGTTTCTGGTGGAGCTTTGGTGGATTCCGGTAGAACAAGTTCCTTCCTTCAGATCTTTTAATTGTACTGAGTTTGAGCTCTACACGATCATAGGGAAGATGGTCTAATATGCCTTCTATGTTCGAACAAAATACAATCTTGCTATTTTGAGCGGGCTTGTGGAATCAAAATCAATACGCCAAAAGATTGAAAGCAAAAGCCTCTATGCATATAATTGATTAAGGGAAGATGACAGAACAAAAATGTATAACTTTTTTATAAAATAGTAAGCAAACCAAGGACTACAATGTTCGACAGGGAGGCTGAACTATTCTACGATACCCACTAGCACAATTATCATTTATCACTGCGTATGTATAATATGAAGGGAGACTACCAAGAACAATAAAAAAACATTCAACAACGTTACTGTTGCTATTACTATTACTAACAAGAGGCAAGGGATTGCTTTTTTCCATTTCCTATCTACTTCCCTGCAGCTACAAACCCCTCAAAAAGCACAACCTGAAGTTCACTTAATTGTTCTACATTCCAATCCTTACTAATTCGACCATTACATCAGTTGCAGGGGAAGTGACCTTGTTTCTCATCAAGATTGACTCACTTGAAGAATTGGTATCACAAGCAGAGAATGGTGAGTAGAATATGATTTGCATCTTCTTCGCTACTTGTACACAATGCATAACGACTTGGAAACGAAAATCCTCTTCTTTTCGACGCGTCATGTGTAAGTATGCTCTTCTGGTAGGCTGTCCACATAAAGATACAGTTCTTTAATGACACGACTTGCTGCCAAATAAAACTGAGTGGGAACTGGGAAGCCTCCGGACACTGCTGCTTCATGAGTAAAAGTATGTCTTCTGAGGATCATCTCCATGAGCTAAAGAGGGTTCTTCTGATCCTGCAAACAAAATTAACTTATTACTTCACTATAAAACAATAATCTAATCCTAATATAATATGTAGAGAGGCATACCTTTCCATTCAGGTTGCAGGTGTGTTAACTTTATCGTCTCCCCTCTCTATGAAGAATACAAGAATATCATATGAAGAATCATTACCTGGAAGCGTTTTGATTAGTTGGGAAAAGCTACTCCGCCGCACCTCCAGGAGCTTGGTTTCGACGATTCAATAAAAGACGAAACAGATGGAGAGGGACGACGTAGAGGGTGGTCGACCCTCCTCTTTGTTGAGGAGGGCTCGACTGGTTCTATGGCGACGACGCTGTTCGTTGAGGAAGACTCGACTGGTACTACGGCGACGACGCTGTTCGACGGATACAGAGGACGGTCGGGATTTTTTGCCTTTGTTTTAAAGAAAGAATGGAGGAAACAGAGAATAATCTCCTTGGCGCTGTTGCAAAGATCCTGAGATTGAATCGATGACGAAGATCCTTCTATAGAGTCTGCCGGAGAAGGAGATCGATGCCGAACTGTTTCTCTGTTCATTCGTGATTCTTTTCCTAGGTTTCTGGAGAAAAAAAAATAATGAATAAAACTGAACAAAATAATTTGGGAAGATAACGAAGTGAAAAAAAAAGCAACGGAAAGAATTCCGTATGTTTGGTCAAGTACCGGTTCAACCAAGTTCTAATGGGAAGTTAGATTTGACCCGGGTTCTAGAATTATAGGAATGCCACATCAGCTCCACGTGGCCCAATAAAAATCAGCGTCACCGGTGCCGCACTTTTTACTGCGGCACCGTAGTATTGGCCATTACAGACCGGCCGTAATTATCTGAACAGCCCAAATCAAAGAAGCAACAGGCTATATGTGTGAACTAGTTTTATGAGCCCACACTCTACAGTCTGTGGGTTTCAGGCCCATATCTGGGTGACTTGCTATTTGGACCCAGTTGACCAGAGCAAATGTACGGTTATCAAGTCCAAACTTGGCCTTGGGTTGGTTTAATTGAATGATGGTAGTCGTTTAGTGAACAAATTTGCTTTCTTGATTCTCATTTTTAATGTGCATGATCTTAATTCTTAAGAAAGCCACATAAAAAATATGTTGTCCCTTATTATAATCGATTTCAGCTATGTTTTTTGTTCACTCATGATGGATAACTTGAGTACGGTGAAAATGCTCATGAGAAATCCAAGATGTATCGGACATGGATGATTTTCTTTTTATAAGCCGATCGAATTCGATATGCGTATAAAAATATAGCTCAACACATGAATTCTTTTCTGAAAAAAAAAAATCTAACATGTGAAGGTCTTTGTTAAGTGTGAGATGATAGACGAGCGTCTTCTTAAAGTATAAGGATGAAATGAAAAAAATATATACTGAAAAATATAATAACAATAATAATGATGATTCTTCTTATTAATTAAATTATCTTATGTGAACAAACAAACTAAACGAAACGAATAGGCAGGCTACTACAACTCGGAGTTAAGGGATCAAAACAAATAAATAAATAAATAAGACACCTATTATAAATATATAGTCTCCTATATATTAATGTTACTATAGATAGACATAGAGATACATAACATATATAGTGTTTCATCCATCACTCCGTGGGCAGCCCCAAGCTTGGCGCCAGCCAGTTCCTGACATCTTCCATCTCCCTTGGGATCGTGTAGTGTCCAATCCTGCAAAGTTGAAGATTCAGCTTATTATTCATGACCAATAATTGCAGTCTTTCATCATGCTACAGTTGAAACGCAAAATTATACCCGTCGTAACGTTTAAAATTGAGACGCCCGAATCCAGCCGCAGATAGGACACGTGCAGACCTCTCTCCGTGACTGTAAGGAATCTGGTCGTCACCTGCAAAACCACGTAATTAAAGTCCTCCTCTTGATATGAATAATGAAGAGGAATAGTATATAATATCAATAATGTTATTGATGGCATGCACTAGATCGACTTACTGGTCCCGTGGGTGATGAGAATGGGGAGGTACGCAGCTCGGCGCGCAGCTTCTTGGGATGACTGTACTCTGTTGCTCAGGCTCCTCGATATTCCGGTGGGAAGCCAGCCGCTGAGGCTGACGACGGCCTTGAGGTTGATGTTGTAGGGAATGTTTCCGTTTCCGTATCGGCCCAGGACTGCGCAAGTTGCTGAGTAAAGTGCTGTCGCTCCGCCCATGCTGAACCCTCCGATTCCAACTTTCACTGTTCAAATAAGGAGTGAGTAAGTAAGTAAGTAAGTAAGAAATCATGATATGGTTGAAATTGGGTGAATGGAAAGCGCGTAATTTATGGAAGGAAGTGGTACGTCCGTACCATCAGCAGGCTCGCTGGACAACAAGTTGGCGATATGGGCGGCTGAAGAATCTAAGCCTTCCATGTCTTCCACCGTATCTTCTGACATCTCCCCGACATCGAACCCTTTTCATTCGAGATAGGAAAAAATTAGAGACGACGTAACTATACATGCAGTACTGCATCTGCATGCATCACGTACGTACGTAGAGATAATCTCTATGGAAGGAAGAGGTTTTTTTTTTTTTTTTTTTGTATTGTATATCTTACATGCAGTGCAGCGAAACCCTCCCAGCATTCCTACAGGGCGAACTGGAGCAGTTGGACATATCCATTTGATCTGCAAACAAAGCCAGGAAGTTATATATATACATATCATTGAAAATTAAATAGAAAGAATTCACCAACATATTCATTATTGATTTACGCCTTTAATTTGTGCTTACATTGGGTAGAGGGAGTGCGTCCAGGACCTGTGTCCAGCTGTGCCAGAGAAACAAACAACAAACAAACAAACAAAGGTCAGCTTCTAATTAAGCACCATTAACTAAGACTCTATTTCGTGTTCGGAGTATGTATTAGGTAATAAGTAAGGTTTAGAACATCAATCGATTAAGCATGCACGTACGTACGTACCTGGCGCCATTGTCACCCATGCCATGCAACCAGACAATGGTAACCTGATGCTTCCCTCTCGGCCTCACAACATGGGTTCTTCCAAAATCACTCATTCTTGATCTACCACTCGTACTCCCTGTATCAACAACAAAGTTCAACACTAGTGTTAGATGGAACAGAATCATGAAGAAGAAGATATTAATTAAGTAGTTGATTGATTGATCAGAGGGTTTTAGAGTAAAATATATCATGTGTAGAAGTAGAACAAACCAGAAGGCATATGAAAGTGCTGCTGCTGCTGGTAGCTCATTAGTTGCAGCCGGAACCAGTGATCTAGCTAGCTAGCTAGTAGTAACACGCAAATACTGCAATTAATTAATCTTCTTACGATTAACACTTAGCCAAGAATGAATTGAGGAGTAGTATATTTTTTTCCTGATGAATGAACGGGTAGTGTGTATTTATAGTGCGAGAAAGAGAACGGACATATGATAAACCAAGGAAATAAAATAATATGGGAATTGCATTGCAGCTCATATCTCATATTCATCAACTAGGTAGTGTAATTAATTCAATTATATTGTGTGTATAGATGTGAACATGCAGAAAGCAACAGCGTGAAGGCATATATACTGGCGATCGTCCTTTAAAGGGAGGAAAACAAAGGAAAAAAAAAAAAAAGGGGCGCGTTCGAAACTGGTAAAGGAATCTCCGAGAGAGAGAGAGGCACTAGAAAAGGTGGGAGCTCTTTTTGGCAGAAGGAATCGAGACAGAAATGATGTTTACTATAGGAGAGCACAATCACCCATTTTTAAGCTGTCCAGATAGGACGGAGAATCGATGCTTTGGCTTGGCTTGGCTTTGCAGACACCATGCACCAAAGATATAAAGCGGAAAAGATGAGGAAAGAAAAGAAACGCGCATATACAAAGTCAGGCGAGCTTGCTTGCTTTGCTTATTATTTAACAACTGTCTACATGGACGGACGATGTGTAGGCTGCAGCTCTAGGCTAAGTTAGGTTAGGTTGCTATAAGTCTCCACTACAGAGAGGTTCCATTTCCATATGTAGCTTTCGGGATATGATCATCACTGAAAGCAACCAAAAGGAATAATATGCAGAAAGGGGAAAACAAAGCTAATTATGAAATGAAAGCTTATTTCTCGTGATTGATGTGTAATATATTATATTATATATATATACCCCAATACTGCCTGCAAAGTTGTTCCTCTTTTTTTCTTGTTAACATATTGCTTTGCTTCTTGGCCGTTGGGTGCTGTGCTATCGTGGGATTCTTAGTACGGGCTCCGCGTTACTATGCTCATTATCATCGGGGTTTTTTTCAGAAATTTTTTGTTAGCTCTTTTATGCCTAATTTATATAACGAGTTATTTTGGTTTTTCAGTTAGCAAAATCCGACTTTTTTGAAATTAATTGAATGAACAATTCAAAAAAAACTTATGCAATATTCGATCTATTTTGAGTTCTTTACCTTGTAAACTTACAATTTGTGTTATTGAGATTTTTGGGCAATATGGATTCATATTTAAGGAAAGATATTACCTCTCTTTTTTCCTTTTTTAAACAAATTGAAATGATTGAAGTTTTTCTATTTGGAATAATGTTATGGTATAAATTTAGTTTGTATCTACATATTTTTGCACAAATTGTTTTTACTATCCAAACTGAATATATATTCAGTTTGTAGCTTTATCTTTTTATACAAAAATCTTTATGATACGAATTGAATTTTTACCCAAAATCATCTGCGCTTATGACTATGAGCATTGTATAATTCATGTTCTTAGTACACTGCCCGTTAATGGTGTAGTTTCGAGTTTGGATGTAAGATATGTATTATGGTTATTATAAATGATTATGAAAAATATATAAGAGTCAATAGATGATTTTTTTAATATTATTCAAAATAAATCTAAATGTTTACTTTTAGGATCACAAATTATTTTTTAATATTATAAATCCTCTCTCAAGCGCTTAGAAAATATAGTGATGTTACCCCCTTGGTGGACACCAACCAGACTGTAAGCCTGCATCTAAATGCTAACAAGATATTGTCGGGAGGCCGGGGTTTACCGTCGTAAGACAGCTTTCCCTCATATATACATATAATATAGAGATGTTAAAGGGAGTTTCATTTTCTGCATTTTTGCCTTGTTGGCTATTGGGGATTTCTAGTATGAGCTCGTTGTATCATACGTATTATGGTTATTTTGTAAATAAACAATGTTATACTTGCTAACATAGAGTTTGTGAAGCTATATTTAAAATTTATAAATATTTATTTGTTAGGAATTAAAAATTATTTGTTAAAATCTACTATTTTTATTAGCCATTTACAAAAATATAGGGATATAATTTACTTATGTGTGCGTCCGAAAATCACGGTGTACCATAGATGAACCAAACCTACCCTGACTGATGCATTTCCTTCAATTCTCATCATAGTGTTAGTGGTATATTGAGGTCTGGCGAATTCAATTCTCATACTCCTATCTTTTTTAGGAAAAAAATCTCTTAATGACGTATATGCTCGAATTCCCAGCTTCGATTGTCAAGAACCAGTTGCTCCCAATAACTCGAGTTGTTAGGAGAGGTTCAATCGTGGATCATATACCACAACACTAACACGCCCCCTCAAACGAAAGCCACTCATAAGAGCTTGAAGTTTGCACAGGTCTGAAGACAAGAATACCATGTGCTTAACAAATGGGGGTCACCGGGAATCGAACACAAGACCTCTCGGTCACAGAAGGCTCTGATACCATGTCAAGAACCAGTTGCTCCCAATAACTCGAGTTGTTAGGTTAGGTTCAATCGTGGATCATATACCACAACACTAACATCAATGACCTAATTTAGCGATATTCATATTGTACATGGCCAATATTGAACATGATTGGTTAAGTGAGGCACTCTAGCTAGTTAAGTAAAATGAGTTTGTTGCAAATCCATTGAAAATAAAAACAACAACTCAGATAATATTATCAACCCATCTCAATTAACCCTTACCAAGCTGTCATTTGGCCATTGTGGTTGTAAGTATTTACTCTCAAGCAAATGGTCAATAGCTCAATTAATATGTGATATCCTCGATATCTATCTTTTGCTCAAACTCCATCCAATGGAACGATCGAACTCTTCCTTAATGATCCTTAATATGGAGGATTCGATTTCCTTTGTAACTCGATAATCCGTGGGTGGTAGTAGACTGACTTTATGAAGTTGGTGGTTGAAGTTATGCACGGGAAGTTGGGAACTGATGCCTAGCCTAGCTACTAATTCGATCGTTGTTATAGCAGGAATTGTCTTGTCGTCGTTCATGGCATTGGCATCATCTAGGCTAGGGAGCTAAATTGTCTCCTCCTCTTTTTAGAGCCTTTTTCAGTTTGTCAACTCTCCTCTTTATTTTATTTGCCCCGGAAATTGGGGGCCGTTCAAAAGGGGGAAATGAAATGAGAAATCAGGCTCATTTCTGATTTGCGGACAGCCGCCAATCGGCTCATTAAACTTTCACTTCTTCTGATTTGCGGACAGCCGCCAATTTCATAAAACAAATCGTGTTCGGCTAATTAGTTCGTGTGTTTACATAAGTGGACTGGAGAGAAAGAGTGAGAGAGTGTAACGTCCTTCTCCTCCATGATCCTAACCGAGATTATTTTGATTGTATTTGAGTAACTATCTTTCCATACTTAAATCGCTAGTTGATTAGTGTGATGAAAAACCCAACTCATTATCAATGGTGACGACAATCCAAACTCGGAGAGACCAATGCGCACTAATGTTTAAACCCATACTTTCTCTCTCAACCACAGAGTTCTAGGCAAAGCAAGAACAAATTTAACTCTCTCTAATACAGGTCTTGATTAGAGAATATTGTACCATAGAATTACAGCCCAACATACTTAGTTAAATATGGTACGGAAAAGTTACGTATAAAATACGTACAAGTCTTTTATTTCATTTATAAACTAATGTTACGTTTAATAGTCATAAATATATAAAATTAATTATTTTATATATAAATAAATATATCAATAATAGTAAAATTAACAATTTAATTCATTAAATACGTATATTAAACGTGTTATACAGATTTTATACATCTTTCGTACGGGAGCCATCAAATGAACAGAAAAAATGAAATGTCTTGACAATAATACAGATACAAAAGTATTAAACGGATAAAATACGTACGATTAGGTATACGTATATTAAACGGAGTATTTACTAACTATGCAAACTAATAGCTTGCTGTCTTTTTATCTTCGCAAACATAAATTGTTCATCCAAAAAAAAATATTCACAAGAATAAACTCTCCCTCAGTTACCAAAAAAAAAATCTACCTCACACACACCAGATTCTATGCACAATAGCCACACCAAGCCCACAAAGTAGACGAAATCCAAAGCCCACCATAGCCACACGAAGCCCACTACGTAGGAAAAAGAAGCCCACAACGGCACACCAAGCTAATATAGAAATATATATTTTTTACGGGTTAATTGCATGTTTGGTCACTGAGATTACAAAAAATGTTCATGTTTGGTCCGTGGAAATATTTAAATCCAATTTTGGTCACTAAAATTAATTAAATGATTCAAGTTTGGTCACTCTCCGTTACCTTCCGTTAGTTTCTGTTAACACCGTTAGTTATTTGCTGACGTGGCTAACAGAAGTGCTGATTCACCCAATTTAAATTATAAAAAAAAACCCAACCCGTACAGTCAACAAAACCCACCATATCAGTTACCCACCCCACCCCAACCCACGAACCAACCCTTCCTTCTTCCTTTATTTGACCCAACCAAAATAAAAACCCTAAAAAGCTCAATTAGAAATTGTCGCTGGTATGTCCAGATTTTCCCTTCAAGAAGAATCTCACACACAAATCCTTCTCCGAGCTCGACCTCACGATGCTAGCTCCTCCTCCAAGTCCAACATTGTCGCCGCTAGCTGGCGTTAGATAAGAAAGGGGATCATCGTCCGTTACCTCCCTCTTCTCCCAAATCACCATCGCTACCGTCGTTGTTCTTGCTTTTCTTGTTACCGTCGTCGGAGCTAAGGTTTTGCGAATCCTTCCGTAACTGATAGGTGTCTTCGTTGTCGCCGTCTCGATTGGAGGCAGCGCAACGATTGGGCGTGGACTGTGTAGCGGGAAGTGGGATTTGGAAAGGGGAGTTGGAGGAGGAGGTGGAAGCGGGAGAACTAATGACGGTGGAGGAGAAGAGGGGAAGTGGTGGTGGCTACGGTGTGGAGTTTTTGTTGAAGGAAAAATAATATGAGACGGATGAGAAGAGGGAGTTGCAGATTGATTAATGTTGGATTTTAATTTGGGGTAGTTGGATCATGGGTTAATGGTCGGGTCACATTGGTTAAGTAGTTATGATATGGCAAGTT